CGTTTGAGGATGCCCAAGCTCCGCTAGAAGACGTCGTAGCCATATCGCCTCCATGGCACCTTGAGTGAGTGCCATATACTCCGCTTCCGTTGAGCTTAGAGCCACGGTTGGTTGCTTCTTGCTTTGCCAACTCACGGCCGCCCCAAGCAAGGTGAAGACATACCCGGAGGTACTCTTGCGCGTGCTCGGATCTCCCGCGTAGTCCGAGTCGGCATAGCCCTTGAGTTCAATCGGGCCGGCTTTATACACGAGCCCCAAGTTATGTGTGCCTTGGAGGTAGCGTAGAACGCGTCCTCCCGCGCGCACATGCTCGGTATGAGGGTTGCTCACGACTCGTCCAAGCACCCCGGCGGCGTATGCGAGGTCGGGACGAGTAGAAACGGCGGCATACATGAGCGAGCCCACTAGCGAATGAAACCGCTTCCCTTCGGCTTCATCGAGGGTGGATTCTTCCTCTTCCGTGAGGCAAGAGAACCCCGTAGCTAGTGGTGTTCCCACCGGTTTGCTATTGCCCATGCCGAAGCTCTCCACTACCCCCTTCACATACTTCTCTTGGTGGAGGTGGATGGTCCCGTTGGCTCGGTCACGGTCAACGTGCATCCCAAGGTAGTACGTGACCGACCCCAAGTCCCTCATAGCAAACTCCGCCCCTAGCCGTTGCTTGACCTCCCGAATGAGGTCTTTGGAGTCGGAGAAGAGGAGTAAATCATCGACGTAGAGTAAAAGCACCAATTGCTTCTCCCCCTCCTTCAACACGTACAAAGCGTTATCGCACTCGCTACGCGCGAAGCCGTGTTGAAGAAGAAAGTCGTCAATGCGCTTGTACCATCCGCGTGGACTTTGCTTCAAGCCGTAAAGGGTACGCTTGAGCTTCCACACCCTTCCGCTACCGTCATCGTACCCCGGGGTTTGCCGCATGTAGACTTCTTCCATAAGAAGCCCGTAGAGGAAGGCGGTGCAAACGTCCAATTGCTCCACCTCGAGATTGAGGGATGCCGCTAACGCGAGCAACACCCGAAGAGTTGTAGCCTTAGCGACGGGAGCGAAAGTCTCGCTATAGTGCTCCCCCTCCCGTTGAGTGTATCCTTGAGCTACAAGCCTCGCCTTGTAGCGTTCGATACTCCCATCGGCTCCCAACTTCTTCGTAAGCACCCATTTGCACCCCACCAAGTAGGCACCCTTCGGCGGGTCGACGAGCTCGAACACATCGTTCTCCTTGATCGATGCTAGCTCCTTCTCCATCGCTTGCTTCCATAGAGGTGCATCCGGAGAAGCCAAAGCCTCCGCGTGGGTGCGAGGGTCATCTCTCATGGTTGCGAAGCAATATGCCGCACGCTCCTCATCCAACTCCCCAACGGCTACCGTAGCGTAGTCGGCTAACTTCGTGTTGGGGCGAGGTGTACGACGCCCACGGGTCAACGCCAATGGTAGGGAAGAAGGTGCGGAGGGAGTTGCCTCCTCGGTTGGTGGCACCTCCACGACATCGTCATCGCTCTCCTCGTTCTCTCCCCCTCCACTTTCGGCTTCATTGTCCACTTGTGATGGAACCTCCACCGCCTCATCCTCCTCTCGTGCGGGAAGTACGACGGTGTGTTGCGGCATTGGTGGTTCTTTCGACGGAAACTTGTCTTCGTCGAAGACCACGTCTCGAGATGTGACGACGCGCCTTTCACCCAAGTCCCACACTCGCCACGCACGCTCGTTTGCCGCAATTCCCAAGTAGATTGCCGCACGAGCCTTCGGTTGCAACTTGTGACGAAGGGGATCCGGGACATGGTAGTAGCAAAGGCACCCAAAGGTGCGAAGGCGGGATAGGTTCGGCTTCGTTCCGGTCCATGCTTCGAACGGAGTCGTTCCCGGGAGCACCCTCGTCGGCAAACGGTTGCGAATCCACGCCGCTAGCGAACTCGCCTCGCCCCACCACTCGCTCCCAAGCTTGGAGTGTTGAAGAAGAGAACGAACGGCTTCCACCAAAGTGCGATTAAGCCGCTCCGCCGCTCCATTTTGTTGGGGTGTGTAGGGTGTTGTGACGTCGTGCTTAATGCCCTTGCACTTCATCCATTTCTCGAGCTCCGCATTCACGAATTCGCCACCACCATCGGTGCGAATACACTTGATCCACTTCTTGTCGTCGTCGCAAACTTCGAGCGCCCACTCTTGAATCGCCTTGGTCGCATCTCCCTTAGCCTTCAAGAGTCGGGTCCAACACATCCGCGTCGCGTCGTCGAGCATCACCAAGAGGAACCGCGCTCCTCCCTTTGATGCATGCCGCATCGGTCCACACACGTCCATGTGAACAAGCGCAAGCGGGTCCTTAGCGAGGGGAGAGGTACGGCTACCAAATGGCTTGCGAGCCATTTTTCCTTCGACACACGCCGCGCACACTCCTTTCTCGTCGTCGCCGGCGATCACGTCGACTCCCTTCGCTAGTCCTTTGTTGGCCAACGCCTTGACCGATTCGTAGTTGGCGTGCGCAAGCTGATTATGCCACGCATGGAGAGTCGCCTTGGACCCTTGCGCCACGTTGGAGGAAGCCGCTCTCGGGTGCGTCTTGAGTTGGTAGAGTTCTCCGTTGAGAACGCCTTGTGCGAATTGCTTCCCCTTCCAAATGAGGTTCATCGTCGCGCCATCGATGGTGAACTTCACATCCTTCTTCGCGAGTTGAGTGACGGAGAGTAGATTCACCTTCAACCCCGGGACGTGAAGCACATTCGTGATGTCCACCGGTCCGCCATCGACGATGAGACGCGTACTCCCAACTCCGACCACCGGTAGCGACTTGTTGTTTCCGAAGACGACACGCGTGACGTCTCCCGGTGCACCAACGTTGGTGAGGAACGATGCCGAGTGCGTCATGTGTTGCGTTGCGCCGGTGTCGAGGAACCACGCGTCGCTTGGAGTGTTGGTCCCGTCACCGGCCAATAACACGATCGACTCCCTTGTATCATCCGCCTCGCCGGATGCCGTGTGCGCGTTGCCCTCGTGGTTCCGCGCCTTCGATGGAGTCCAATCGCTCGGCCGCTTCCGACACTCTCGCCAAAAGTGTCCCGCTTTGCCGCAATAGTGGCACTTGCTCGCGCCATTCGATGTGTTTCCCTTGCCGCGATCGCTTCCACCGTACGACTTCTTCGTCGCACCCTTGCTCCACTTGGACTTTCCTCCGGAACTCCCTCCGGAGAACATGGCGGTCTCCACGTTCTCATTAGCGAATTGTCGGCGACGCGATTCTTCATGGAGAAGCCGACCGACCACCATTTCCTTCGTCCAAGTGTCTTGCACGCTATCGAGTGTCGTAATCACCGTCGACCACTCTTCCAGGGTCGCATAGCAAGGTCAAAATCCAATCCTCCTCCGTGACCGTTCCACCGAGGTCCATGAACGTTTCCCCGAGTTCCTCCACACGAGTCGCATACTCGTGCATCGATTCGCCCGCGCGCATCTTCACCGTGTAGAACGCGTTCCGGGCTAGGATCTTGCCGTGGAGAGTCTTGTTCACGTGGATGGTCTCAAGCCGCTTCCACGCTTCATGCGCCGACGCTTCGAGCTTGATGCACATGCGCACCGAACTCACGAGGTTGATGCCGATGCGCGAAATCAACGTTGCGAACGCCTTTTGGTCCTTCTTCTTCCATGCCGCGATGCCGCTCTCATCGTCCGGCTTCTTCTCCGTTCCATCGAAGTAACCCCAAAGTCCCCGCTCCATCATGAGCACTTGGAACTTAAACTTCCACGCGGAGTAGTTTTGTCCCGTGAAAATCGGTACCGCCGACGTGTCGAACATCGTCGAGGTTGCCCAGGGTTCGCCGGAATTCGAGACGACACCACCTGAGGAAGTGCCGGAGGCTTCGCTTGACGTCATCATGCTTGCTCCTTGTCGCGCGCGTAGACTCCTCCGACCAGCTCTGATACCACTGATGTAAAGGACTCTCCTCTACTTTGCAGGAACTGGGATTTGTACTAATCACTAGAGCACACTCTTGGCTTTCCAAGGAGCCGTAGAACACGTAATTCGCCCAAGTATCGGCTGAGATACAGCTTTCAACGTGCTAGGTAGTGCTCTAAGATTGAATGATAGAAAGTCTCTGGATTTTGTGTCGAGTTGAACCGTGTATAGAAAACTCTGATTTTCAGTATGAAACATGCATACAAAGCAACTAGTTTTATATCATGCAATCAACATCGAACCGCGTTCGTAACATCGCATCGCTACACTTCGCGAATGTTCTCGTAACATTTCGAAGTGGTGAAATTCGACACTCGAATTTCACTCATCCGAATGTTCCTTCAAGTCTCGAACTTTCTGGTGCTGCCATGTGGCACCGAATTGGTTGAGTCTTCCGAAGTCAATCTTCAGCCCCACGCCAACCTGCAGCTCACTCGAAGGTGAGAAGCAAAAGCAGCACCATTCGGTGGTTGGGGGCAAAACCTAGCCCCACGCAACCTCCAACAATATACATGTGCAGCAGCATAACGGAATCCGTCGCTGCTAAGGGATATCTCACATTTGGGATGCGTTAGTTTGCAGTACAAAGGTCACTGCAAGTGTCGACTGAGCCGCTGCTGTCGCAGTAACGGGCATCAATGCCTCTATGGTCACAGCATGCTGAGACAATTCTGTCACGACAGGTGTCAGCACTGCAGCAACTGTCACATCCATTGTTGTCACCTGTGATTCATCACACAGCACGTGGTCAATGCTGTTCCTCACAGAACATGTGGTGGCGGAACTGCTACTCACGCCACAGCACATGGTCACCGCTTCTCACAAAAGAGCATGTAATCACTGCTGCTCATGTCAAAGCCTTGTGGTAACTCCACCATACAGACACGAAGGGCATGTTGTCACTTCTACTCATGCTATAGCACGGAAGTTGCTTTTGCTCTTGTCAAAACATGTGGTGGTTCTTCTCAAGACAACGCCTGTGATCACTGCCGGGCGTCTCACAGCATGTGGGTGTCATGTCACTGCTAATGCCACATTGTCTGAGGGATTGCATGCCTCACTCATGGGGGGCAGCAGGGAAGGGGATGGGGGGAAGCAGGGAAGGAGATGGAGGGAGGAAGGGACGGGGATGGGGGGAAGGGGGGAAGGGGATGGGGGAATATAAGGGAAGGGGATGGGGGGAAGAAGGGAAGGGGATCGGGGGAAGCCTGGAAAGGGACATGGGGAAGCAGGGAAGGGGATGGGGGGAAGCAGGGAAAGGGACACGGGGAAGCAGGGAAGGGGTCATGGGGAAGCAGGGAAGGGGATGGGGGAATATAAGGGAAGGGGATGGGGGGAAGAAGGGAAGGGGATGGGGGGAAGAAGGGAAGGGGACACGGGGAAGCAGGGAAGGGGAAGGGGGGAAGCAGGGAAGGGGATGGGGGGAAGCAGGGAAAGGGATGGGGGGAAGCAGGGAAAGGGACATGGGGAAGCAGGGAAGGGGATGGGGGAATATAAGGGAAGGGGATGGGGGGAAGAAGGGAAGGGGACACGGGGAAGCAGGGAAGGGGACACAGGGAAGCAGGGAAGGGGACATGGGGAAGCAGGGAAGGGGATGGGGGGAAGAAGGGAAGGGGACACGGGGAAGAAGGGAAGGGGATGGGGGGAAGCAGGGAAGGGGATGGGGGGAAGCAGGGAAAGGGACATGGGGAAGCAGGGAAGGGGATGGGGGGAAGCAGGGAAAGGGACACGGGGAAGCAGGGAAGGGGTCATGGGGAAGCAGGGAAGGGGATGGGGGAATATAAGGGAAGGGGATGGGGGGAAGAAGGGAAGGGGATGGGGGGAAGCATGGAAAGGGACATGGGGAAGCAGGGAAGGGGATGGGGGGAAGCAGGGAAAGGGACACGGGGAAGCAGGGAGTCATGGGGAAGCAGGGAAGGGGATGGGGGAATATAAGGGAAGGGGATGGGGGGAAGAAGGGAAGGGGATGGGGGGAAGCATGGAAAGGGACATGGGGAAGCAGGGAGGGGGATGGGGGGAAGCAGAGAAGGGCGTGGGGGGAAGCAGGGACGGGGACATGGGGAAGCATGGAAGGGAATGGGGGGGAGCGGGGAAAGGGACACGGGGAAGCAGGGAAGGGGATGGGGGGAGGAAGGGACGGGGATGGGGGGAAGCAGGGAAGGGGATTGGGGGGAAGCAGGGAAGGGGATGGGGGGAAGAAGCGAAGGGGATGGGGGGAAGCTGGGAAGGGGACATGGAAAAGCAGTGCGGGAAGCCCAGGGGAAACAGTGAAGAGGATGGGGGGAAGCATTTCGTGGGGAGCGGGGGAGATGCCGGGGAGAGAGCAATCCGAAGAACGGTGGGGAGCCCGGAAATGGTGTGGGGAAGGAGAGAGGTAAGCGGTGTGGAGGTGAAAGGCGATCATTAGGGGAAGGGCCACCGTGTGGGTGGGTTGGAAAGGGGGCGTGACTGGTCCAAATGAGTTGGGAAGGGAGATGGGAGGGATGGCGACAGTGACGGAGATGCCAGGGCGACGAGGGGAGAGATACGGGGATTGCGAGGGGACGAGCGGGAGGGAGGGCGATAAGCAGCAGGGAGCGCGACGAGACAAAGGGGGGCAACGGGCGGAAGGGAGCGCGACGAGGGGAAGGTATGGCGGCGGGTGGTCGGGAGCGCAATGGGAGGAAGGGAGGGCGACGAGACGAAGGGAGGGTGACGGGCGGAAGGGATGGCGACGGCGGAAGGGAGGGCGACGGCGGACGGGAGGGCGACGGCGGACGGGAGGGCGACCGGCGGACGGGAGGGCGACGGCGGACGGGAGGGCGACCGGCGGAAGGCATGGCGACGGGCGACGGGCGGAAGGGATGGCGACGGCGGAAGGGAGGGCGACGGCGGACGGGAGGGCGACCGGCGGAAGGCATGGCGACGGGCGACGGGCGGAAGGGATGGCGACGGCGGAAGGGAGGGCGACGGGCGGAAGGGAAGGTGACGGGCGGAAGGGAGGGCGACGGCGGAAGTGAGTGCGACGAGCGCTAGGGGAAGCGACGGGCAGCAGGGCGACGGCGGGAGGGAGTTTGATGGGCGTAAGAGAGTGCGACGGGCGGAAGGGAGTGCAGGCACGCGGAAGGGAGTGCGACGGGCGGAAGCGGGTCCGTCGAACTTACATGTGAGGCAAGCGCCCGATCCGTGCGCTTCGAACGTACATGCCTGCGCCATCGTCCCTATAGAAATGGGCGTGACGCATGACGTTTTTCTTTATCCTGGCTAGTATTATTTTGTTGTTGGGAACAACAAACAGGCTGCTGCAAGGAAACTGATGTCTCGCTGCCATTGTCTACATGCGATCTTACGCGCTCTTGTGGTCCTGAACAGCGGAGCACACTACGTGTCTTAGACTCAATATGGCTGCACATAAGTACAACTTGGTTTTCAAGTTTACTGAATGTGAACAGTGGTCCAACTCCCGTTGACACTTCACGCGGAATACCTGTTTTGTCGCTGGCCAATCATGCATCAGAGATGTGAAGCCTCTCCACTGTGAGGCGACGGAAAGCTTTACTTCGGGTGGTAACCTGGTTTTTGGCGAGTTCATATTCAAGAATCTTGAATTTGAAAACAGCCATGTGGAACTCGGGCTTTAACTTTTTGACATGTTGTTACCGTAATATTTTTGGCAATATCGTTAGGAAGACAAGACATTCTCCATGAGGTGCATGCACTGTATAATAATTCTTTATTGACACAATCTAGCATTTTGATACTGTACCAAGTCCTGCACATTGCAATGACCAAAGCAAAGTGGTTTTGTTTCAGATCAGATAAAATGTCTCGTCTAAAAAACCTTCTACTTACCCACTTTCCTGATGTTCCCAAGCCAAGCCCAATACAACATCTCCTACTTTCCTGACGTTCCCAAGCCAAGCCCAATACAACATCTCAGGAACATTCCCCACCTCTATTCCCTCCCCCTCCCAAACTTATGTTCAACCTGCTGCAAAACTCTTGTCTAATTAGCTGGGGGACTGTCTCTCACTTCCAAACCCCTTCCCAGCTGGGCTCACCTGCACCTCTCATACCGTAACTCCTCTCCAGCCTCTCATAACTCCTCTCCAGCCTCCCATAACTCCTCTCCAGCCTCTCATAACTCCTCTCCAGCCTCTCATAACTCCTCTCCAGCCTCTCATAACTCCTCTCCAGCCTCTCATAACTCCTCTCCAGCCTCTCATAACTCCTCTCCAGCCTCTCATAACTCCTCTCCAGCCTCTCATAACTCCTCTCCAGCCTCTCATAACTCCTCTCCAGCCTCTCATAACTCCTCTCCAGCCTCTCATAACTCCTCTCCAGCCTCTCATAACTCCTCTCCAGCCTCTCATAACTCCTCTCCAGCCTCTCATAACTCCTCTCCAGCCTCTCATAACTCCTCTCCAGCCTCTCATAACTCCTCTCCAGCCTCTCATAACTCCTCTCCAGCCTCTCATAACTCCTCTCCAGCCTCTCATAACTCCTCTCCAGCCTCTCATAACTCCTCTCCAGCCTCTCATAACTCCTCTCCAGCCTCTCATAACTCCTCTCCAGCCTCTCATAACTCCTCTCCAGCCTCTCATAACTCCTCTCCAGCCTCTCATAACTCCTCTCCAGCATCTCATAACTCCTCTCCAGCCTCTCATAACTCCTCTCCAGCCTCTCATGACTCCTCTCCAGCCTCTCATAACTCCTCTCCAGCCTCTCATAACTTCTGTCAGCCTCTCATAACACCTCTCCACCCCCTCCTAACTCCCCTCCAGCATCTCGGGGTCACCGCTTCGGAAGCTAGCCTCGCAGTGATTCCTTCCCTGTTCCGCAACGCAACTGCTTCATCACTTATCTCATTCCGCCGCGTCCCAGGGGTGTGGTTGGCCTGCTCCCTGCCATGGGCGTGCCAGGCTGGCTCCCAGCTACACTGCCGCCCGATCTGATCTGGGCGAACTCACGAAGCATCGCCAGCAACGCTCGCGAATCCGATTCGGGTTTGCTGTTACCCGCGAGTTTCACCAGCGGCGGCAAGCACCCCTCGCTGAGAATTTCGCTCATCGCGTCATCGCCGTCGGACTTCGCCAACGAAAGTAACGTTCCCGCCGAAAGCTCCGCAGCCTTTTCCGAACCAGATTCCATAATCCCGATCAGGGTAACTCCACGTCCTCTTCCTTTCTTAACGCGTAGATACCCTGTGGGTATTTAACTAACGCGCAGAGCAAAACCGCCGCTTTTTCTTCCACTCCCGCTTCGTCTTCCCCTTCCAGCAGCGCAAAGACTTGGCGAACCAACCCGTGCTTAATCGCGTCCTCCGCAGCTTTCGGAAATAACGACAGGTTGTAAAGAGCGAGGCAGCAATCCTTCTTGGTACGCGCGCACGTCGCCTTTCGGAGGAGATTAATCAGCGGCGGGACAGCACCAGCCGACCAGGCGACCTTCTTATTCTCCTCCGCATTCGATAGCGCGAAGAGAGCCGCCGCTGCGTTCGATTTCGCCACCTCAGTCGCCTCGAACGATCCGTCCGGTCTGGGACTCATTAACGAGCCGCTACTTGCATCATTAGCACCCCTCGGAGTTAAACACATTCCGCCGCGCGATGTCTTTAAAATTTCGACGAGGTTTCTAACGCCGCCGGCAGAGACAACTTCCATGGCCCCGTCCCATTGAAGAGAGAGGTAGAGCGTCGCGGCTGATGCTTGCTCGACGATCGGACCGTCCGTTGAGAGCAGCATTTGCATCAACGGTCGGATGCCGCCCGCGGCGACCAATCGCGTGCGATTCTCCGGCGCCTCTTTCAGCGCGATCCTCAGCGTGTGAACCGCCTCGCGACGCTGGGCGACGTCGCCTGTTCGCAGAGCGTCGATCAAGGGTCGCATCTCAGTAACGGAACCCTGTTCGCTCGTGCGCCTGCTTCGTCGCGTCGGCGTCGCGCTTAGAAACTGCTTCGAATACGGCACCGCCTCCTGCGGCGACGCGGATCCGCGACGCGACCCCTGACGCTGCGCCCTCGCCGCGTTTCCCCCCGTGTTTCCAGACAAGAACGACCCGAGAGCTTCGTCGTTCTTCGCATCTTCATCCGTAGACGACAGCCACGGGTCGCTGCTATTCCGAGGCAGCACCTTTGGGCTCGCAGCAGCGTCGCACGGACTCGCAAGTTCCCCTTTCCTACGGGGCGACATCGTTCGTTGTAGGGGTCCATCGTTCGCGCTTGGCCGAAGATGCTTAGGAATAGCTGGCGGCATGTTCGCAGCGGCGGGAACGGCGGAAACGTAGGCGTTAGCAGAGGAGGAATTGGTGAGTTTCTTAGGCGTCTCGACCGCGGCAGGGCCAGAACCGCCTGCAGAGCTGCCCGTAGTCGAAGCGCCGGGAGTCGAACTGTTGTCACTAGATTGCAACGAGTGGCGCCGCTCGAGAATCGACTGCGGGGAGATTCGTGGCGACGCAGCGCTGCCTCCGGGGCCGGTCGCGGCAGAACTCTCGGCGGAACCCGCGGTTGCGCGATCCGCTGCCGCTGCTGCTGCTGCCCGAGCCTTCGCCAAATCGAACCGCTCTCCGGAAGCGGGGGATGGCGGAATCGACGAGTTGCGAGTGTTCTCCCCAGCTGGCGTAAGCGGGCTCGACGGGCGGAGCGGCTTGAGCGTCACCATGTGGGACTTGCACCAATCGGAAATGAGCTTCTGGAGCGCCTCGTTGGGCGTGAGCATTTGGTGCGCGAGCGGCTCGCCGGTTTTGGGACACGTGGTTCTTCCTTGCGCGAACCAGCGCTCGATGTAGACGCGCTCGAAGCTTTTACCGGAGCTGATTATAACGGGGTCGCGCATAACCTCGCTGGAGAGTGGGCATATGAATTCTTGAGGGAAGGAAACGCGTGGAGAGGGAATGGACGTTGCCGGAGGCCTTCGAAAGGCGGACTCCTGCCGTAGCCAATCAACAGCCGCCATTGTTGCGTCAATTTCGCCGCAGCTGACGGTCAGAGGTGATCAAGAGCTAGTGGTCCAGCAGCACACGGAGCTTAACGAGAAACGCAATAATCTGACTAAGTACTAAGTATATTGATGGTGGTACGCTGGATCTAAAACGCCAAAGCTGGAAGAGTAAGGCACAAGGTTTGGTAACTCCTTGTGAGGGTATGCGATACTTTTCGACGGAACGGCGCGTCTAAACGGCTAGAAATGAGGTGCAGCAAGAAACCTGTCTAGAATAGTACAGTGCTGTATTGCCCACCTAAGCGAAAAGTTTGCTCTAGAATTAACGCTGTATCTTTTCACGCGATGCTAGTTTCTGTAGCGAATGGCTTGCTCGGACTTTATGCTGGAGGGAGAATTCTAAAAGATGCTCGTTCTTCACAGCCACGACTCATGCATAACAGTACCCTCCTCCTGACTAGAATCTGGAGGAAAAGAGATGGAGGCCACAAGATGCACTGCCTGCCATGCTTGTGGATGAGAAAACGGCGAGAGGAAACGCGACACAAAACCTGCAATTGGTTCCTTCCGCAGTGAGGCCAACTGAAAGGCTTCAATGCAGGAAACGGAGAAACCGAACCGATGAAACTGAAGTGATGCTTGTTTGCACGATGCCGCACGGTCTGCCAGGAGGAGCTGGGAAGGGGGCCAAGGGGTGGGTGGGAGGGAAGGGCTGTGGGATGCAGGCCTGTACTCTATGAAAAAATACCCTGATTTGGCAACAGAACGGGGTGTAAGGATATGACGCGTTTAATCCATAGGGTTATTCTAACCGGCCTCCAGAAACTCAGGGATTTTGATTATCCCCAATCGGTTCGAGATGTTCGAAAAAGGCCTGCTTCCCGCCCCCAGCTCCAAGTCCTTCCTTTCCTCCACCCAGTGTCGGTCCTAGTTATCTGAAGGGAATGAGCCTCCTCCTCCTCCTCCCATGCTTCCAATGAAGCATGTGGGCATGTTCGTGCAATTTGTGGCTCTTATATTCCAATGACGTTTGGCGGTTGTACAATGGAATGAACCTTGTTTCGCTGGGCTGGTTCGAGATTGGTTGGGCTGGTTGCTTGGGCGCACCAGCACACAGTGACCAAGAGGTTACAGTGCAGCCACGAAATCCGCGGCGTGAGCATAGCCACAAAACGACCGAGGGCTGACCTGTCTTATCTGTTCCAGCAGCCCCTGCGCTGCGATATTGTCCGTCGAACAGACAATTCTTGCGCGCGCCATGCAAACAACGCCGCATTCTGTAGTTCACAGTTTGTCGGATGTGGAATGCCGAGAAGTACCAACTCTCGAACTTCAAAATCGGACGGTTGACATCTCTCAACATCCTTTTCCGTTGCTCGATCGAAGGGGGTCGATCGATCGATAGATATCCACTTTGGTTTGGTTTGGGTTTCACCCTCTGAACTGTAGCAAATAACCCACCCCTCCCAGCCAAGCAAGCTGCCAAGCACATCTTCTGCGCCAAACAAGTGGTCTCCCCCCCAGCTAAGATCCATTTCAGTCCTGCCCGCAGTTGCTTGCCCCGTTGATTTCGAGAATGAAAGGAAATAAAAAATCATCTCCAGGATGTTCGTGGTGATGGTATGGTAGTGGTGGTGGTGATGAAACACGACGATGTTTCGTGCGAAAAATGTACACCAACCACACTGTACACTCACCTACCAATCACATCAAACGGAATCGTACAAATGCATTTCGGCACGGGCAAATGAGAACTTCGAAGTCCCAAGTTCGGATTATCTCGAGATAGTACGGATGAAAACCCTTGATGAGTCCAGGTAACTGTGGTTTCTGAACACATTTTCCTCTGCAAGTTAGTTTTTGCTAAAAGATTCGATGGAGCGGACAAGAACCAGCCGGCTGTTGCCAGTATCCATCTGCAAATAGACGATGATCTATATGTACTGTTCACGTGATACATGTTTATCTAACCTGTAAGTGTAGTCGTACAGTAGTTCCTCGAGCGGCAGGATAATGGTCAGGTCACCTATTCAGGGCAGTGAAGGATGAGGACGAAAGGAATTGTGAAGCATGATGTGCAGAGAGGGAAATTAGGGCGGGATGCCCTGGCGTATCTTGCATTTGGATGATTTTCACAACTCTATATGTGTGGTCAGTAGTTAGGCTAACCGCTGAAGGGGAATGATACGTGGTCAGCATTAATGCGATCAGCGAACTTGCCACAGCAAATCTCAAAGAGTGGTGAGAAAAAAATCACAGCCAAAGGTGTCACGTGGAGGTGACAGTGGCCAACCAATAGGCACTTTTTACAGCGGTGAGGAACAGCTGAGTCTGACGATGACGTGACGCGATGCATCGCACCTGTATTTCTCGCGTCCAACAAAACATGCCACCCGTGCCAACATCTGCATGAATCAGAAACAGCGGCAATTATAAAAGATGCTAGCCTAGGTGAGGCCTTGGGAGCTGGCAGTAGTAAAGGTCTTAATACACATGATGTCCAACCTTATTCTGTGCATCTGCTTGTGCCATCCAAACACTAAGGCCATCGTGTGTTCGAATATGGGAAACGGTACATCGTTTAGAGTCAAGCGCAGAATGCATACATAAAGAAAAAGACACCTCAATTAAACAGTTACCCATGCACACCAAGGTATGTCACCAAGAAATCCAGGATTTTGACATTTAAAATTTTACACCCCTATTTTGCCCTTGGCAAACTCGACAACGACTGGCTAAACAGCAGTGCAGTTTAGGGTCTCTACAATGCTAAAACACGATTAACCTAAACGAATACAAAGTGTACCTTATTCTCACCTGACACAATTATGCATTTTGAAGTCAATTCTTGCCAACACGTTTAAATTGTACATCTTGCTTAGTCAAAGGGTGCAAAACATTCGATGCTCGACACTATTTTCAAGGAAGGCTTCAATCATGTGGAGCAATTTGTTACACTAACATCAATCGGCTTCAAAGCAATACTACGTAAGCTACTGCAAATTGCGGCTGCAACATTCTGATGTCATTTGTTTTGGCTTGACACCTCGATGCTCTTTTCATCCGGCATAATGTTGCAAATGTGACTAGGAAATATGTTGTGTATAGCTCATTCCACACCGTTTCATTCTTTGCCTGGGTGAATTGGTGCGTGTTTTCAATCAACTGTAGGAACGATGTATCTCCATCAACAAGAACCATCATCTAGCATACGACTTCCAATTAATATGGTCGAAGATTTAATGCGATTGATGTTTTGCGATATTTCAAACAACTGTACGGTTGCATGTAAATATCCGTATGCATCGATTTTATCGATGTCGACACTACGGACGTTGTAAACGCATTCCTCTTGATCGTCCAACTGGCGATCGCTCCCAGCGTGCACTCTCAAATGCGTCACTTCCCATAATTGCACGAGATATATGATAAAATTGTCGTGTATTAGAGTTACGATTCGAATTGAGTGAATGAACGATGATTGGACTACCGAGATAATTGAACAGCGTGAATGAAGGTGTGAGCGAATGTTATACAGCAAAACAGTTAGTAATGGCAATGAGTGAAAAATGGGGTGCTCTATCACCAACGCCAAGGATG